GCACTTTTAAAAATGTAATGGCGATAGTGCAAGGTGCAATCTATATACTCAATTAGTTGCTTGTAAAGGGGGTAACACACGCAACTTAATGAAGCATTTGCAAACGAGACACTCATTGAATCTAAAACGGTGCAGCGTATTTGACAGCCTAAACAATGTGGCTGCTAGTGCTAATAGTGCTAGCAGTAGCACACTAACAACGTCCTCCTCAGTGCAACCTGATACGATTTGCGGGACAAATGTAACGGTATTTTAAAAATACTAAACTGTCGGCAACTATAGATGCCATTTTCGTGGGCTTCAGCCGCGCCATGTGTAAATGTGACCTGAGCGAAGGCTCGCAGGCAGGTTAGCTGCTGCGCATGGGTAATATGTTTTGTTTACCTGAGTGCAGTCTTGCAGGCACATCGCCTTGTCTTTTTTAGTTTATTAACACTGACAGTGTTTTAATGTGAGCTCCTACACCTATAATAATTTGGCCTTTCATTGAATGCTTTATAAACCAGTTAAACTTACAGATGTCATTGTGAATTGGAAAACTGCATTTAAATGTTGTTAAAGGTCAACGTTTCAATGTATGGTTCAGCAATTGTTGGTCATTTTCTAGGAATTGACATATTTTAAGCTACAAATACTAGGGATGCACTAAATATTCGGCCACCGAAAATTATCGGCCGAAAATGGTTAAAAAGGCCCTTTCGGCCGAAAGGGTTTTAGCACCGAAAAAATATCACCGAATGTCAGAACAGGCTTGCGTTGGTAACCTAACGTGTTGTTGTGATGACGTAATAAAGACGCGGCGACCATGCTCGCGGCTAGCTCACAGGGGGGGGAACATTGACCTTTGTCATCGAGATTGCCCTGAGCCTTTAACAAATCGTATTAAATAATCTGATGACAGACTGTAAACAGAATAGCTGAAATGTTAACAAACTAAATAACTCAGTTTCCTCTAATCATTAACCCATGTTTGTATCATGTAGTTAACTCCGTGTGTTGCTGCTAGCATACATAACACCTGACGTGGAAACGTTACTCGTGATGGAGCTACATAGCTGCTAGAAAGACGGTCGAACCCGGTACATTCCTCCGGCTGCATGCGGTGCACTTTTGCTAAATGTTTAGACAAATTGCTCGTGCTTACATGCTAAACTCTTATTGCACTTATGGTAACAAGTATTCTCCACATCGAGACGGGTAAAGTGTAACCACACCTCGGAGCGCGTTCTCTCCGCCATCTCCGCAGTGTGCTCTGCTGCATGTAGCAGCTGCGTGTGTGTAAACTGCCCCGCCCCCTCGCACACAGACGGGGGAGAGAGATCTCGTCTGATCGAAAATACATCATAGACGCATTTGTTGTCTTTGCATATTAGAAACGAGTTGGCGACACTAAGACTGCGATATCATGTTTTTTAGCAATAATACATGACATATATAAATGTACTGTAAATATATAATGTAATATATATTTCTATTAATCATTTTCGGCATTCGGTTTTCGGCCAACTGTTTCCTATTTTCGGTATCGGTTTCGGCCAAGAATTTCCCATTCGGTGCACCCCTAACAAATACTTTGTTCTATGTTTAAACCTTCAGACACATTTTGACGTGTTTTTATTAATTTTATTTATACATGGGATAACTACAATAGGGCTGCAACAAACGACTAATTTGATATTCGATTAATCTATCGATTAATTAAACGATTAATCGACTATTCGGACTATTACTGTATGCCTTGCAGTATTGTCACGATACCAACATTTTGGTTTCGATACCGATACCAAGTCAAGAATTGTGATTCCGATTCTTTTTCGATACTTTTCTTTTATTATTTTCATGATAAATAAAATTGTAGCTTATCTGTTAAGTGTTTTCTTACAACATGGTCTCTTCTTTATACTTGAGTTTATGTGATTTCTTTGATAGTTAGCTTTATATTTTAGTAATAGCACAGTAATATAAATAATTATTGACAAAATGTACTTTGCAGATGTTAGCCACATTGGTAAGTTAGCTAAAAAGATAGCCATATTAGACAGTTATCATTCCCATTAATTGCCTCGTCAAACTACGAAAACGTTCGTTTGTCACAAAATAAATTACACTTGTTTGACTTAGATTTGAGGACATGGGCTGAGCATGATGTAATTATGTTATCTATCACATTCGCTGACCTGTCTGTCTTTAAATTCTTTAAACAGCTCTGGATGCCGGTCGGCGGGTGCTTAGCCAAGTTTGATGTGTTGGCTCCCTTGGTTTGCAGGGATCTAAAACATTTCTCACAGACAGGCCTCTTGGTGTCCGTAGGCTTGCCCTCACTGTCAGAGATATAGCTCAAATACACACCTTGGAGCGCTTCTCTCCGCCGTCCCCGCCGTGTGTTGCTGCATGTAGCAGCCGAGTGTGTGTAAACTGCCCCGCCCCCTCGCACACAGACGGGAGAGAGATCTCGTCTGGTTTGGAAAGATCAAAAATACACCGACCATAGACGCATTTGTTTGTCTTTTTGCATGTTAGAAACGAGTTGGCGACACTAAGATTGCGAGATAATGTTTGTGTAGCAATAATACATGACCTTTCTCTTTCTCAACTCGCTACTCGGAGGGACGTCGCTGTCATATGCCTAGTGAACACTCCGATAATGCCTCTCCACGTTACCTTTCTTTGGCAGAGCGACGCTTGCTTTACAAATAAGGCAAATAACCTTTGAATGTGACATCACAAACAAATATTCTTCCTCCCATTCTGGGTGGAAGTGGTTTGTCTTTAGCTTCTTGCTCGGTCCCGCACTCATTTTGTTGTTTGTCTCTTGAACTTAATTTGAGTTTTCGCGGCACTTGACTGATTTTGTATCGCTTTGCATTCTGGGTTAACAGACTGGAAAGCGATAGGTCGCTTTTTCTGTCAATCAAGTAAACTCCTGAATTAAGTGGCAGGGAGGCCAAGGGAGGAGGGATCAAAACCTGTGTTGTCTATTTTAACGGAGCTGGATTTTTTTTTTTATGAATGACTCGATCTACCAGCATTTCCCCCGCAGTCGACGTACTGGGCACCTCTGCTGTAGGACAATGATTTAAGGATCTCTTGTCGAGCTAGGTTGTCAGTTTGAAATGTCTGGATGAAGATGTAACTGATGTACAAATGTTATATAAAAAAAAAATGTAAATGCCTATTTTCATCCTCTGTCTGAGGGAAAATCCCAAAAAGCATGATAGGGCGAGCCAGGCCCCTTTAAGTTATTTTATTTATTTTTGTCTGCTTCTAAGAGGCTAATGTAAGTTATACAGTTATTTCTGCAAGAAAATTACAATAAAATGACAGTTTCATCTTCACATCTTGTATTCATGTCTATCATTTTGAGCACCAAATTATTGAAAAGTATCGATAAGAGTATCGAAAAATACCGATAAGCCAGGCCCCTTTAAGTTATTTTATTTATTTTTGTCTGCTTCTGAGAGGCTAATGTAAGTTATACAGTTATTATATAGCGGTATCGATACAATCCTAACGATACCCGTCCCTAGTGGTTACTCTGGGTTCTGTCTTCAGGACAGAGTGTTGGATTTTTTTGTTAATTGGATGGGACTTGATTGGATTCAATATTAGAGTAACTTTCTCGCTTGTGTTTTTTTTAAAATATATATTTGGCCTTTGTTTATGTGTTTGACTGATTTACTCAAATAAAAAGGTTGATGAATTATCATCTAATGAAGGGGTGTCAAACTCAAGGCCCGGTGGCCAAATCTGGCCCGCGACTTCATTTTATAAGAGCTTGCAAAGAATATAATATGTTTATTATACGGTTACATGCCGTTTTACAGAAGCACATTGCAAATAAACAACACGTCCCACAATGCATCTCATTTTGTGACATGCGCACTGAAGAGACTTGCAATTATTTGCCCTAGACTTCTGCATTCAGACATAGTTAATTATGAAGTGATTACCCTATCCGATAATAATCCAATGCAGAGGCAATAATGTGAAGGTATTTCATGTTCGGGGTCATTTGTTTATAACCTTGCTTCGTGCAAGTGACAATTGTTGTCGTCTTCTCTGTGAACGTTTTTTCCGCTGTTCTTTTGCCATTTTTAGATTTAAATTTCCAGCGAAAGCTAAACCAGGAAGTGTTTTAGCACACCACGTGACGCATCTGAAGGAATCACGTTGTCAGAAATTGACACCAGCCAATGAGATTTCGTTTCTTGGTTTAAGACCCCTTTGTACTTTCACGATTGGTTGCTGATACAAAGGAAATTACCATATTTGGATCCGATGAGATTGTGCAGGAGAGACGGAGCTTTCCAGCGATACCTCTGATCACATGGTCAAAACAGTGGTCGCGGTACTTTATGTTACGTTAGAATGCTAACTTTGCTCACGCAAATAGACAAACTATAGTAAAATAAACACCTAAATGTGTATTTTGTACATTTTCCTTCCAAAAGCCTGAAATAAAACATCTTATGGAATCAATATAGCACAAAATCTTAAAATTGACCAGTGCATGAAAAACTATGTTTTTGCCTGCCGTGTCTCGTCCTAATGAGTGAGACACACCAGAGTTGAGGATCTGTGGGGTTTGTATGTCGATGTATGGGAAACACTGTTCTTTTTATTACTATTGACAATTCACGTGGTGTGGGGGTCGCCAGTCTCTGGCACTGTTATTTTGAGGGTCGGGGGCTGAAAAGTTTGGGAACCCCTGCTCTAAGAGACGCACCACTGTTTTTTGTTTTAAATTCAGGAGCACATTTAACAATTTTCACTATAAAAAGGATTCTTCTAACTTCTGTGTATTAATTAGGATATTATCATTTGTAAACCCCTAAGATCAAAATCCACTGCTTTTATTATTGATATTCAGATCTGTGTTTGTATAATTCTTCTTTGATCATTTAAAAAGTGTAAAACATGAGGTTTATGTATATTGAACTCTGCTGAGTCGTTTTAGGTAGCTCTCAAACAGGTTTTAAATGTTGTGTTTGACTTTGCAGCTCCTTTGGAAAACGGGGACTCAGAGAGGACCACAGAGGAGCCGTGGGACCAGAAAGAGGCGGAGCCAAATGAGGAGGAGCCGGGAGGCGACTCCTGTGGGAACCGGGGCCCTTCGGAAGAGGCTGTGACGGAGGAGGTCGCTCCGGAGATCATTGAGGAGGAGGAGGAAGCACCAGCACCCAAAGTCCCCCCCACACAGCCCGACGCCCCGAAGAAAGAACACGTCAACGTTGTGTTCATCGGACACGTAGGTCAGTCCATACACCGCTCCACTGAAGTGAGGGGGGGCAATAATTCAGGCTATAACGATGGATGATTAAAATAACAAATGAAATGCAATCTTTGCTTTAGAGATGGGCGGCCTAACTAACACAAATGTCTAGCCTTTTGTCTAATTGCGGTGGATATATTTCTTCTTTTTACCTGCTAAAGGCATGTTGAAAACATTTACATCACTCTCTGCAGTCACTCATAACGTTTGGTTTTTCAATAAAATCATATATTCATGAAATCTTATATTGATATATCATGACATACAATAACGACAATATTTCAATTTTTTTTAAATTGGTAAAACAAGCAAGTACTAATTCATCATGAAATATTTTAAAGGAATATCATTTGAGATTGCGCTTTGGTTATTGCATCACTTTATGTGTCTGCGTGCAAACAGTCAGTGAACAACTGGATATATTTCTTTTTCTTTTTAATTTTGCTTAAAACGTGTCATTTTCACTTAACCTGTTTAGCCCGAGAGCCCCCTGTGGAGGGGGCTGCGGGTTTTCTTTCCACGAAACTGTGTCTCAGGCAGTGTTACACTGTAGTGTATTGCTTTTATTCAAACTGTATTCCCTTCTTATCATGTAGCATACACTTCTTCCTTTCATTGATACATTGAAATCACCTGACTACAGCATATAACATACCTGCTGCAACCCTGCGCTGCTGCTTCTCTGCCTCATCCTCTATTGCTGGAGGCAGCTCCACCTCATCTGATCTCTGATATGAAAGCAATCGTGTTATGATCATATTGAGCTATTGGTGTGAGTCTAACATTAAACAAGCAGTCTGCTTGTCATACATTGCTGACGATACATTTTAAGAGACAATTTGTTGAGTCACTGCCGCTAAATGCCGGTAGCATCAAGCTAGCAAATCCTGCATTAGCCTCACATCAACAGGTGTAGACAGAACATCCAATTACCCTGAGCTAATTTACTGAATAAACCAACTCACATCTCCTGTCTTTTTTTTCACCCAACTCAGTAGACTATTCTTCTGCTGGCGTTTCATTGTTGTTTTCTGTCAAATGCAATACTGTAGTTCAAAACTGCGGTACCTGCTCACCATCTGTGAGCTCTTTTTAGAATGCGCACGCTACGTTCGTTGTCGCGTTCGCGCGCGTCCACCTGGGCAGGCTGTGTTTCCTTCTCCCGTGACGATAACGGCTTGAGGTTAACAAATAATAATAAACTAATTTGAAACTGGGGGGACACAAACGGGCAGACAGCAGAGCTCGGGGCAATAATGCAGATTTGTTTGACTTTTTTACACTTTGTTGTTCTCCTCCTTTCCTCCGCTCTTGTCTCTGATTGTGAGTGTGTGTATTCGTGTGTGTGTGTGGGGGGGTGGGGGAGCGGAGGGAGAACGTGAATACGCAAAGCAGTGGACACTGAAACATGCACATACATTGGATAAATAACATAGGCTTTTAGTTTATTTAATAAAAGAGCACATATTCAATGTGAAAAGTGACCATAGATAGATTACTTCAGTTGCAATTTGGTGCTATATATATATATATATATTAGGGCTGTCAAGTTAACGCGTTAACGCAAAAAAAATTACCGCCACTAATTATTTTAACGCGATTAACGCATGTGTATTTTTTTTCCTCCGCCGCCCCGTAGTTTCAGAGCGCATCAAGTTTAAAATACCATCTACAAGCTGATGCTGACAGCCCCGCTCCTGCCGCCCGCTTGTGGCAGACCACACTTCCACGCTCACCGGCAGGCACCGACTGGCCATCTGGAGGACCGGGAGGGTGTGTTTATGTGTGGCCCGAGCGAGAGACCTTACGTGCATTGTTGTTGTTAGCATCTGGTGCTAGCTAGCTGCGCTAACGGATATAAGGAGCTGTTTAAATGAAAACAGAGGAGCGACATTTCGCCACAACTGCGCCGAGCACTTGATTTTATGCAGGAAGCCAGACAGTGGGACATTGTACGAAAAGTCAGCACGGATAGTGCGCAACATGATTGCAGCGTCCAGGCCAGGGTCGGCTCTAGAACAAATCGAATGGGGGGGCAATCATTTACAAAGGGGGGGCACACACTGCCGTCAACAACCAACACACAAACACCAACGCAACTTCAAACAACATGCTGTAAAGTCTATTGTATAGCGCACCTATGACTTGTGCATGCATGCACGGTTGTGGCACGACCACCAAAACAGAAACATATGGACATAGGCCACCATATAAAAAGGGTGCAGATGTATTTAGTATCTTATCCATGTGAACATGTTTTAGGTGGGTGTGGACCTAACCTCCTCTAGGAGGGTCTGGGGGCATGCTCCCCCGGGAAGATTATTTTTTAAATATTGAAGTTAAATGCATCAATCTGGTGCACTTTGAGAGCTAAATGAAGAGATCTATGGATAGTCTACATCTCTCAGCATCCATATGAAACAGAACTGTACACAGATTTACTTTTTCTTTATGGATATTTTACTAATCATTCCCCTTTTAAACTGTATTCTTGTGTTACTGTCCTATAGTATTTCATACCCGTTTTTCATTTATTCTCTTATTCTTTAATAACGATATGATCATATAAAGGTATTCCTCGCAAATACTTGTTTACATAAATGGTGACCAAACCGTTTGAGACCCACTGAGATAACTTACACTAAAGGGAACTATCTAAGCACTGAGAGAGTCCTTACCTCACTGAGCTGAGGTTATACGATCCTCTCAGTCTGACAGGAGAGGACTCTCCTCCACCTTGGTGTAGAAACAGCTCTTTATATATGTTAGCATAGCTAGCTAACCAGATGCTAACATCAACATTCCACGTTCCCTCTCGCGCACTCACAAAATGCGATCGTGCCACACACACACAGAGCCGAGCTTGAATGAAACACAGATACTCAGAAGTAGGCTACTTGTACTGTACTGTATATCATATTATTTTCGATGGCTTTACTGTATAATCAGTATAACAGATGAACAGATCGCCACTGGGCTTTCATCTAAACACACAGCCACGTAATGATAACAAAACAAAGGTCGGGGGTCATTGGTCAAGCAACACACCAAACAGAGAGCAGCAGTGAGCACACCTCAGGCTGTGTTTTTTATTTGTATTCTTTATTTCTGACGTATTTCACACAAAAAACCTTTAGTGGAAACGTTTTCACTGATATGATTAAAAAAAAAAAAAGTGGCAAGGCTTGCCTGCCCTGCATTGGGGGGGGGGGCACAGTGACTCATTTGGGGGGGCATGGCCCGCGAATAACCCCCCATGACGCCGACCCTGGTCCAGGCAGCTCCCGTTCGAGCATATGCCTTGAGTTGCACATAGCTCCACCGATCCATCACACACACACACACCATTTGTATTGTATTATTGTATGAGAGAGGTTCCAGGTTGTTGTGTTTAATATTCATGAAAATATGTGTCATTGTTCAAATGATAGTGAACATTTGCATAAAGCATATTTGTCCACTCATATGTTGATAAGAGTATTACAAACTTGAAAAATATTCCTCTAAGGTACATTTAGAACAGATCAAAAATGTGCGATTAATTTGCGATTAACTGTGGACAATCATGCGATTAAATATTTTAATCGACTGACAGCCCTAATATATATATATATATATTTTAAATAAAAAAACACCTTGAATTTCAGGCGGGGCGCGGGGCTCCGTTGGCAGGGCGCAGCGCCCCGCCGAGACAATGGTAGGGGAAACACTGCTTTGTATTGTCTCTTTGCATTGCTGATAGCACTCCGGAGTTCATACCTAGATTTCCTGTACTCCTCGCGATGAGCGGTGCTAGTGGAGCACCAGAGCCTCGCAGCTGCGAGACTGAGGCTCCGTGGTAAACTGTAGTAACATGAAGAGTCAGTGCTTTAAGAGAGCCGATCAAATGATCCGGCTCACTAACGTAAAAAGACAGTATCTATAAGGAACGGCTCACGTCAAAATTCCCCCTCCGCTCTCGGGGTGGACGCCCACTGGCACCTGCTCCGGTGTGAAAGCGCCTTTTGTTACCGGTCTATCCTGTTTAAGTTTCTGCCTGTAAGCAGGCAGCAGCAGTGAGATGTGGTTTGATTTGCCGAAGGGAGGGCGAGGGAGAGCCCATCCATGTCGAAAAGGGGAATAAACATAGTCCAGTATATTTCCCCCGCGCATCGGGCAGCTGATATGCTGTTAGTACTTCAGCAGGACCTTCTTCATGTTAGCGGTGTTAAAATCCCCGGCCACAACGAACGCCGCCTCTGGCCGTGAGACCAAAGCTTATCATATCTAATGTCCCAGTGTATGTCCTCTAAACCCGCTCTGCTTGTTCTTCTACAGATGCTGGCAAGTCCACCATTGGCGGACAAATCATGTGAGTCGTGGTCTTCCTTTTTTTGGTTCATCGTCTTTTCTTATATTAAGCAGAGTTTCTTTCAACACAACAGAGCTTTGACCTTTTGTACATTTCTCTGTTGTCCTCCTCTCACAGGTATCTGACAGGCATGGTAGAAAAGAGAACCTTGGAGAAGTACGAGAGAGAAGCCAAGGAGAAGAACAGGGAAACCTGGTGAGTGGCTCCCTGCTGTCTGAACTATCAGGCTCTTGTATTGTTTCTTCAACATGGAAATATACTCTATTCTGAAATAACAAATGAACGCCAACTAGGTATACTTAAGATTTGATTGTTAATTGTTATTTTTCAGCCATGTGTACAGCTAGATGTTAGCTCATCTTTGGTTTTTATCATAGATATATCCATAATATTGTGTACATGACAAACTTTAGAAATCATCTCAGGTTTCCCACATGTGACCAAATCACTTTTCTGTCTCCAAGGTATCTGTCCTGGGCTTTAGACACCAACCAAGAGGAGAGGGACAAAGGCAAGACGGTGGAGGTCGGCCGAGCGTACTTTGAGACAGACAAAAAGCACTTTACCATCCTAGACGCTCCAGGCCACAAAAGCTTTGTCCCCAACATGATTGGAGGAGCGTCACAGGCCGACCTTGCTGTTCTGGTGAGTTCACAGGAGGACCACATGTTGGAACATCACAGCAAAACCTGGCTTGTAGCCTTTTTCTACCCAGGAGTGTTGGGCTGCGGTTGAATAGTCATTGAAGGTTCATCCATTATGAGAGCTGTTCAAATTCTCTGAATGATAAATATAACAGCACTACAGAGTGGTGCAGGAGATGATAAAGGAAGCATTGAAGCACATTTTCTGCTTCCTTTCTCATCTCCTTTAGCATGGGAAACTCTGGAGCAACATTACCAAAGAAAAGTAGATACAACTGTCCCACAATTCCTTTCAGCAGGAACATTCAAATAGACACACAATTCAACCATCAATGACATCAGCCTTCACTGTTTAATTGACACTCCAGGGCTCAACGCTAACCTTTAAAAGTGGTTGCCAGGCTAGCAACCAGGCATCAGCTTTTGGTTTCCAAAACTGAATATACGGTTGCCATTTTTAGTCACCTTATATTTTAAATAATTAAGATACTATACAGTTGTCTCCCTTTCAAATGTGGGTTTTCTTGATCTTTGTGCTGATCCCCACCATAGATCCATTGGCCCTTCAGCATTGAAGTCTTGGATTGGCCAGAATACATTTCTAATGTTAAATAAATGAAAACCATTCACAGTTAAGAATTAGATATTAATTATTAATGCTGTAAATTACCTTTAATATATCTAACTATATTTAACATGTGTTACCTTTTTATAGAAGTGATTATATTTGTATGCCAATATTTTCCTATGGTAAAGTTTCGTTTTGCACTTTTATTTTGGTAGTAATAAGATCGGGACTCTTATTTTGAAGGAACTTTTACCAGAAGTGAATGCACAACATTCCTCTTTGCTTTTCGTTCGGGTTCATCTTGCGCTTTATCAGTTGAATCACTTTGAACATTCGTTTGAGATGTTGACGGGTGGGCTGAACTTTTTACCCCACAGTCAAACAACTTCATTTGCTTCGCCATTTTTTGTAAAACAAACACACTAGTAAACGTGCATCGCTTTCTGGCTCCGTAATCACACCAATGCACGTGCAACTTAAGTATCAGGTTCCGACTGGTCACAACAATAATTAAATATCACTCTTAATACAACAAATAATTAACATTTATCTATTTTGGGGTGCACATTTAGCTGTTTGCTGTCCTTATTTCTTTATGTTAGAAACTGGTTGCCACTGATGGCAACCAAAGGCCAAGAAGTGGTTGACATGTTTTCTGAATGGTTGGCAACCTGGCAACTGTTACTGTCGAGCCCTGCACTCTTGAAAAATGAAATCCATGATTCCATAATAAGGATTGTTTTTGGTTTGTACACTGATCCTGTACCTCATGTAGTTTATCACTGAATCTATCGTGTTTAGTGTGTGACAAATAAAGCTGCTGAGATAAATAACTGAAAAAAAGAGTCACATACATGCAGTTTGATTATCTCCATGCTGCACTGTAAACAGAACCACTAACCAAATGAATGTGTTGTCCCTCAGGTGATCTCTGCCAGGAAAGGAGAGTTTGAAACTGGTTTTGAGAAGGGTGGGCAGACGCGGGAGCACGCCATGTTGGCCAAAACGGCCGGGGTCAAGCACCTGATCGTACTGGTGAATAAAATGGACGACCCAACAGTCAACTGGAGCCTGGAGAGGTGGGCACATTGAGAAAATCACATTTCTCAAGTAGCTCTTAGTTCATGATTTTATTGGGGTTTTAGGCTAACCATTAGTGCTGGGGGGAAACGATTATTTTGAAACCGATTAATCGGGCGATTATTTGATCGATTAGTCGACTAATCTAACGATTATTTTTCTGTTGTTCAATTCATAAAAAACGTAATGTAAAAAAAACGTAATGTAAAAAAAAAAATGTTCACGATACTGTGTCTCAGGGGATCTTAATATTTAAGAACCTATTAATGTGTTATACCAGATTAACGGAAATAATCTCAGCTAACTGACGATACAAACCATGTTTACCAAAACAAAACACAAGTCTCATAAGAAGCATCTAAATGACCCCTGAGCGAAAAATGCTAACGGACATTGGCACAGAACTCAAGATAAAAGTACCCTTATTACTTATCGTAGCTGCACATACAATATATCCGATTAAAGCTGAGACTCCACAGATTATGTAGGTATATAGTATCATCACTGAGTGATCCGGACTCGCGACAGGGGAAGCAAATACAGTCATCACAACACGTACCTTCACAGAGCTTCTCTGGAGATCGTCTCACCGCCGTAATCTGATCAAAAGACGTGTTCAATGGCATTAAAATGAGAAAGAACGCGGCTGAATCGGTTAATCCATAGGTTTTTAACGTCTATGTATACAAAAATGATTGAATTTATAATCCATAATTCCATTTTATGTAAAAATCGGAGAGCAAATGCTAGCTGCTAATGGTAGCCACCACAGCTAGCTGCTGCTTCTGCTAGGCTATGCAGCAGTCTCAGTGAGATATAAATATCTTTGCGTTTTGGACTAACTTTAAAATATTCCCATGCTTTTGAAGACCTAGGGCGAGATGTTTTCGTTTGGGGGCTTCGTGCGCAATCCTGTGAGGAGGAGGTGGTAGCCGTTTCAGTCTCCATTGTGTTTGAAGTGCGATTGCGAACTGCTTGTTGCTTTGGGTGACCCACGTGTGTGTAGCGACGCGTCGACGCGGAAATATGTCGTCGACGATATTTTGAAGTCGTCGACGCGTCGCTACAGCATGCATCGCAAGTTTCCCCTCAACTTAAAGCAATGGGAATGGGAAGTGGTAAAATGCTAACTCACTTCTGACATTTATGACTCATTCCTGCACCACTCTAGAGGTGCTCTAATATTTTTCCCCCATTTTGTATGCTCACGGCCATATGGAGAAGTGTTGACAGTTACTCTGGATCTATGTCACACACACACACACACACACAGACAGACAGTGTGTTGCCCTCTGTGTTCTCTTCCTGTGACGATGTTGACATGACCCCTGTTGTTGCTCCCTCAGATATGAGGAGTGTAAGGAGAAACTAGTGCCATTTTTGAAGAAGGTGGGCTTCAACCCAAAAAAAGACATTCACTTCATGCCGTGCTCTGGACTCACAGGGGCCAACCTGAAGGAGCCCACTGACATGTGCTCCTGGTACACGTGAGTCCACTCTCTACTTTGGAAATCTTACTTTATTGACTGAAGGTTTTTTTTACTAACTACTTTTTATATCTGATGTTTTTCAGAGGGTTACCATTCATTCCACAATTGGACAGTTTGCCAAGTTTTAACAGATCCACTGATGGGCCAGTCAGGTTGCCCATCGTAGACAAATACAAGGTAAGGAGGAGGAGGAAGCACCAGCACCCAAAGCTCATGAACTGTAGCGCCATTTTATGCATGCCCACTGCACCTCGCGGGAGCGCGCACAGCGTAAAGCATAAACTCAGACATTTCAATGATTTGTACGACAAAGTTAGGTTTGGAAACTATATAATTTCCTTTTTGACGGGCATGCATAACACGAAATAACACCCGAGCCTCGCTGCGGGGAAACTTTGGCGCTGTTCTGGGTTTGTTCTAATCTGTTAAAATGACAGACTGCTTTCAGATTTTTTCGTCATTGTTCAAATAAATCCGTCATAGACGGAAAATATTCGGTTAACACCACCAACACTGCTCCTGTGACTGAGCTCTGTAGCAAACTCACTTCCCGTCTGTGATGTAAAGCAAGTTTCCTCTCTGTAACACTCTTCTCCCTTCTGTCTCCTCAGGACATGGGCACTGTGATTCTGGGCAAACTGGAGTCGGGCTGCATCAGTAAAGCACAGCAGCTCGTCATGATGCCAAACAGGGTGAGATATCCCACAAGCCTCTGCTTCCATCACATCGAGCTGAGAAAGATGCCAAAATCCAAACTCCTCCTACTCTGATGTAAAACATGACCATTTATCTTCCACCATGTTTGTGCCTGCAGCATACGGTGGAGGTGTTGAGTCTCCTGTCAGATGACGTGGAGACGGACGACGCCGAGCCGGGGGAAAACCTGAAGCTGCGGCTGAAGGGCATCGAGGAGGAGGAGATCCTGCCCGGCTTCATCCTGTGTAACGCCGAGAACCTGTGCCACTCCGGGCGCACCTTCGACGCTCAGGTCAGTGTCCGAGCAGCTCTAGAGACTCAAAACGTACACATTTTGTTGAGCAGGGTAATCTCCACACATTAACACCATATAAAGATTTATATCGGGCTATAAAGAGACTACATCACAGTCACATGACTTCACAACACTGTTAGGCTTTCATATCATTAAACTCAGCTGGTGCAAGCTTTATAAAGTTAAAGAATGTTTTTCTACCTTACAGATCGTCATCATTGAACACAAATCCATCATCTGTCCGGGTTACAACGCCGTGCTTCACATTCACACCTGCATTGAAGAAGTGCAAATTACAGTAAGTCTGACCTAACTGTGCCCCTCCATGGTGACTGAACCTGATCAGGGACAAGGATTGGTTAGAGGCATTTGAACACATTTAGCATGTTGCTAGGATTGTAGCAGTGTGATGTTTTGTTTGGATGGTTGTTTAACCTGAGCATATGCTGATAATCTGTTCCTCCTGTGTGCAGGCCTTAATCTGTATGGTAGACAAGAAGACAGGAGACAAGAGTAAGACACGACCACGATTCGTCAAACAGGACCAAGTCTGCATCGCCCGTCTGCGCACTGCAGGGACCATCTGCCTCGAGACCTTCAAAGACTTTCCTCAGATGGGACGCTTCACCCTACGAGACGAAGGTACAGCGTCTGCACACAGGTGTTGGGGGCCGGTGGAGTTACACTTCAGGGTCACATTTCACAGGGCCCAGTGCGGTGTCTCCAACTGTCTCTAGTCCTTAACTCCCAAAAATAGAGATATAGAAAAGTGTCACTAAGACTCTCTGGTGTATGTTTGATAAATGACTTAAATATAATGTAATCAAAATTGTTGCTAATTAAGCAACAATTATGATACATTAATTAAGCTCTGCTGCTAACTAGAATAATCATACCCTAGCTGCCATTATTAGGAAACATTCGTAATGATATTTACAGCAGTCATCAAACAAATAACCACAAATATAATATAGTTAAGTTTTTTAGGGCGAATGAACTTAGTTCATTCCCTTTTTGGTGCAAAGACGCTCAATATACTTTGTAAAATTCAGCATACATGCATACTAAAATGAAATGTAACTATAAATCCACTTAACGGCAAAAACTGATATTTGTGTTCGGACAGCAAATGAAGATTATATCATTTTAAGTTGGATAATTTCTCTTGTCTCTTGGGGAAGTTGGAATTAGGGTTGCAAAATTCTGGTAATTTTCAAAGATGGAAACTTTCCATGGGAATAAACTGGGAATTTTCTAAATTGAAGGTTGGCTCTTCATAGGGAACTTAAAGGGGACCTATCATGCAAAATGCACTTTGTGATGTCTTTTATACATCAACATGTGTCCCGGTGCGTCAGGGAACTCAAGCAGCGTCAGAAAATAAAACCCTCTCTTTTCCTTCGTACCCAAATCTTTTAAAAACGGGGCTACAACGAGCGGATACAGATTCCATCCGAGCTGACGTCAGCCCGGAATAGTGTCCGTTCACACGAGGCCGCTCGAAAGCGCTGGAGACGCTGTAGTACATATGCCAGGCCTGTAAGTGGTGCTGTAGTCTGCCACAAAAGCAGCGAAGAAGAATTCCCGCGCATGGTTGCCATGGTTGCCCTTCTGTTTATTCTCCGCTGTGGCTCTTTGTCTCCCTACCCGAGGCAAGCGTTTACTCCTGTTGTAATTCTCTCCGGTAGTCCACCAGCAGATGACAAACACCCACCTCTCCGCCTCTTCCAAGGAACGAGGGGACCGTGCGGCAGAGTTTCAGCCGGTCAACATGTCCGTTAAAGTTTAAATCTTCCGGACAAAATTAGAAAAGTGCCGGTCAAAGGTCTTCTTTGTTATTTATTGAGCAACGACTCGATATAATAATACACGGAGGACGGAGCCTCTCTTTTCCTCCCACTCTTCTGAGAGCCCAGCAGCTGATTTCTGACCACGCCCCCCTCTCCTGCAGGGGGGCGTGGTCAGCTGCAGCTCATTTGCATTCAAGCAATGTCACAGATTCAGCCCCTACAAAAACAGTGCTGGAAAAGAGCAAATGGAGCGAAATGAGGCATGGCTCAAATGCATGATCTGTTTGGTATTTTGAAGAAAAAAACTTCACAGACATGTTTTATATAGGTATGGCCCAGAATATATTTTTCAAATATAGCATGATAGGTCCACTTTAAATCTAGTTGGGGAAAGTATATTTTAGCATAATCTTGACTTAAACAAACAGATGCCATTCAAGTACACTTGAATATCCATGCCATTCCTCACTGCATGGCTAGTGAGACCACACCCCCTACAGGCACTCCATCACATGCACAGGTGATTTCTAGAAGTAATATTTAAGTCAACATTCATGTTTTTGGTCTTCAATTAAACAAATGATTATTCAATAAAATAATTAAAACTAGTTCTGTTCTACTTAGAAATAAATCTGTTGAAATGTCATGTTTTTTAATGAATCATTTTGCATGGATGTTTTCTTATGACAAAACAAAATGTTTATATTTATGCTTGGATATGATACAATTAGATTACTTTACCCTCAATTCCCAGTTAGTTCCCATAATTCCCATGGAAAGTTTACAATATGGAATATTTCCAAAATTCCCCAGCTTAACTTCCCATGGAAATGTACTGGAAATGTTCCGCCCCTTTGCAACCCTAGTTGGAATATACTTGATGGGATTGATAAGAGAGAGGTATATGACTTTGTTTGTTTGTGTCTCAGGTAAGACCATCGCCATCGGTAAGGTTCTGAAGCTGGTAGCGGAGCGCGATTGAACACACAGCGCTGCCTGAGATCCTGGAGAGAAGGAATGGGCAGAGCCTGCTCAAACCCGCCCACACAGTTGTCAGCGGCGACGGCACCCTCCTGTACCGCCCCCCCTTCTGTGTGTCGAAGAACAGCTTCTGAAAAAAACTCATGTGAAAAAGAACCAGTTTTTAAGCAAATGACGCACCAAGATGAAGTCCACACGAGTCAGCTTTCTCATATTGAGAGCTCAGCTATGCCATTCCTGGGTTAGCCCCCCTACTCTGGTCTACTCATCATTACATGATTGTTTTTTTCTTCCACTTTTTTTCTTGCTTTCATGAATGACAATGAGAAATGGCGGGAGTTATATCTGTAAACAGATGTGGACCAGGCTTCTGCTCGGAATATAAAGGATGATTTTCAGAAGTAATTTGCAAAATATTTCACTTGAAAGAACTTGACCAGTTGAAACCAAAATGTGTCCTGGGTGTACATGTCTCCCTTTGCTTTTACCCACCTTTTGGTTTCTCGTGGCGTTCTGGCAGTGTGCTTGAGCGTGTTCAAATGTTATTAAAGCAAACTATGACAATAAAATAATAAATTGGGAAAGACGGAGTGTGTTCATTTTCAGAGCACTGTCCAGTGGCTGTTTCATATATCTCACTTTCAAATGTTCACATTTACCACAAATCACGAAGCTCCAAACAGTCCATTTGATTATTTTATATTTAAACACTGTCCGGGAACATGGGGAAATGTTTTATAAACCATTTTTCAGCTACTTTAAATTGTAATATATTTATGAGCCGATGGGCTCATCAGTTGATAGTTGGCAAAGGTCTGGGGCCTCATTTATAAAGCCTTGCGTAGGGTTCACGTAGGAAGGTTGCTTACGTAGTACAAAGCAAATAAATACGCAGACATTTTCCGATTTATAAAACTGCATAGAACATGCGTACGGCACGTCCTACGCCGGTTTCCCTTTATAAATCACAATCAACTCGAAATGCGGCGCAGCTTTACGTAATGCCCATATTTGCCTGTTCTGAGTTTTACTCCCTACAGGGTGTACTTTGAGGGTTTTGACTCTGCAGACCGTTTACATGCAGACAAACCTTCATAACACAAGGGGACGGGTGATAACCGGAAAAGCATGACATGGGACCTTTTAATGACGAATAAAATATACATAGCCTAACCTTCCTCAGGCAGTGTGTTTGTACCGGCCGGGGACTGGAGACCCCCCCTTGATGAGAAACTAAGAAATGATCGGGGAATCCCTCCGGAGTGGAGTCATGACGACTGGATCTGAATTATTTGTTTGTATTTGGTGGATTGTGTTCTAGCTGTTGATCAGCGTCTCCACTGCAGCCTGTGCATCTCAACCATGATTCAACATGATAGTATATAAAGGCGTGTGGCGCAGTGGATAGAGCCTTGGTCTGGGGTCAGATGGTCAGATGGTCACAGGTTCAAACCCCACTGCAGTCAGCATGTCGTTGTGTCCCTGAGACCCTTCACTCCAAATTGCTCCTGTGGGGATTGCCCACAGTATTGAGTATTTAAGTCGCTTTGGATAAAAGCGTCTAACAACAAGTAACATGTAATGTATAAAACCATGCTCGTATCTATACAACCTATAGAAATGCAAAAGGGCATCAGTTTAAAGTAATTCTATCCTGTTTACCGCATCATTTATGAGAATACATTTCTTAACAAGAGAACATAATCGAGGGGTGATGAGGTGATCAATAACATTTCCGTATTTATTTCTCCAAGTTATGTGTTTGTGTGCACTGAGGAGTCTCAAACAGGCGTTTGTTTAATCATTTTAAGATTGGCTTTAATGAATTTGTGAAAATGAATTCTTCATATATGATAAATGAGATAACATTTTATTTATGGTATTTTTTCCACATATTTCTCTCCATTCTTCCTTCTGCCAACGGTGTCGCAGTTTCTCGTCTCTCCCGTTGTTGTGCTTAGTGCGTACGCATGGGTTAGAGTTTGCGTGGAGGACCGCACATTTTCCCATCAAGTTAGTTTTTTATAAATCGCAAACATTGCGTAGAAACTGGCGTACGCCATTTTTTGAGCGTATATCCAGGGGTGCACATAACTTTTTTGCCCTGGTTCTCAAAGGAGCACCTGGAGATGTTGCTTGGTGCTCATCCTTAAAATGAAATAAACCGTAACTTTTGAGGGGGTCTTTATTTGCCAGACACACGGCACTGAACACACATGCAGAGGTGAACACAGAACACACATGCAGAGGTGAACACAGAACACACATGCAGAGGTGAACACAAGACAACATTAGCACGACCAGTAATCCTACAAGCTGTCATCACTACCCTCCTGACTGTTCTCCTCACTGTCTTCCTCTCTGTCAGACATGGTAGCTGATGATGTAGGCCTACTTCTTTCTCTCTGGTTGAGTCTGTGATTAGCTGCTTGCATCCACAAGTCAACAGCTGGGTTTGGGTCGAAAGTCTCTGTTGTCATCTTAGACAAGTGGATGTAATCAAATAAGTATGTGAACATAACCAATAACCCATAGCCAATAACAAATGAATGTAACTTATTTTATTGTTGTTGTTCATTCATATCTTATTTTACCTTAACATTTATTTATTTATGCATTTTGTTTATCTTTCCAGTTTTAAAGGATATTTTTGGTTACTGTCATATAGTATACATTGGAATGATTTCAAACCTGTTTATCCCAATAATTATAAAGGAGTGCCTTGGAAATATGTGTTTACATAAATTGTGACTAAACCGTTTGAACTTAGACTAAAGTGAACTATCTAAACACTCAGAGTCCTTTACCTCACTGAGCTGTAGTTATCAGCCTCTCAGTCTGACTGGAGAGGACTCTCCCTCCACATTATTGTAGAAACATCTTCTTCTTATATCCGTTAGAGCAGCTAGCACCAGATGCTAATAACAACAGCACCGGTACCGGTGCACCGTCCCTCGATCCCACGCTCACTCGCACTTTGGCTGTGAGCTGCGGGCGCCAGATAAGCCAACATCCCCCATTTTCATCACTTACAGCGCCCATCGTACAGGGCAAATGAAACGTGTAACCGGGGTGAAAAGGGTGTTACATTTACTTAATTGTGAATGTTGTTACATCAAGGCCGAAAATTAGGATGAGCCCCAATGGTCAAAAAATAGTTTTTCCCTCCCAGAGCTGCCAGCGCAGCGCCTCCCCGGATCTGGCGCCCTAGGCGAACATCTATAACGCCAATGCTACGGGCCGACCCTGAGTTCGTTCATATGCAACTCGCAAATATCTTTCTCTCTCTCTCTCTCTCTCTTCTCTCTTTTCTCTTTTCTCTTCTCTTCTCTTCTCTCTCTCTCTCTCTCTCTCTCTCTCTCTCTCTCTCTCTGCGGATGCGCACCTGCGCACCAGTTATGTGCAGCCCTGCGTATATCCCTTTATAAATGAGGCCCCTGCACTTTATCCAGACCAACATTTATGATGCACATTTGAAGTGACTTTACCGACAGTTCAGCACTGAGTGTGCTTAAATCAAAGTTATTTTGAAAGGAAGGTGAATGCAGCGGAGATATAATAGAATTGAAAGGAACCTTACATCAGTCATTAGTTTTCCATGGACTTTTGGTCAATGATAGAGGCTACATTTAAAGCTACTCCACACTGCATCCCTGATTTAATGTTTCTGTAAATGTTCTCCATTTCAAAATGATGTGTCTTTTGGTTTCTCTGTTTTGTTATCAATTAACAATCACGTTAACTGGACAATGATTTTTTGTTTTCTTATTAGGACTTTTACAGTTTTCTTAGCTTTTGCATCTTTTGCTCTTTTCAGTTAACATCAGTATCTAGTATGTACAGTGGTGTTTCTATATGTACAAAAGTGGTGGGGCACACCAAACTTAGATGTCTATATATAAGCTTCTGCAGTGAGGTTCATGGCTGGTGAGGCACTGGCACTGACTCTTCAGGTTTACAAATATTATATTTTGACATAAATCAAAATGTAATATTATTTTCAAAAGCTTTTTTAGTCTGATGCTTCAATTAATTTTAAACAGACAGTTCAACAGAAGGATACCCAAAACATGTAATTGTATCATTTAAATATTGAATTGTTCTCTCTTAGTAAGATCCCTATTTTCAATAAAATTGCGGTCTTACCTTGAAGATGAAGTCCATTTGCCTATCCTTCTGGACTAAAATCTCTATTACTTTTTTGTAAAAGTCCTCCTTATCTTCTTGTAGTTTAAAAAGTCTATCATAAATCTTATCGATAGATTTATGATTCGAAAATGATAAAAGTAGGGTAGACATGTGGATATTATCCGGCTGAACAAAACGTGCATTTATTTAACAGGTACGTTTCCCACAGAGCTTATTTCCAGCTATTTTCTAAAATCCTATGGAGAAATCTCATTGCTTTTTTGTCGAGGGAAGCCGGTTATGGCTAGAAAGGATCCGTCTAGTGTAAAACTCTCGCGAGAGTTTGCAAGTCACGTGGCTGAATGTTTACGTTTGGCAGGCAGCCTTTCAGTTAGTGATGGCAAAATGAAGCTTTGAATGAAGCGTCGAACCACTTGGACAATTGTGTCGGAAATAGGTTCATTTCTCGAAGCTTCAGTTACAGCGACCTCTCCTGGCGAAGTGCAAGGCTGCAGTGGGTTTAACGTATCTTTGCCTTGAAAAATATTCGATGCACACACACACTAAGACTGAATATCATGTTCTATTTGCAATTAAAGATTGATAATTGTGTGTATTGGGTTATTGAGAAGAGACTAGAGAGTGCTAGACATGTTTTTGGGCGGAGAGGGCCTTTTATCAGTTATTAAAGTATTAAAGTTGAAAAGCAATGATTAAAAGTACATCCATTCCAGGCTTTGAACCAGCTGCGCGGAGGACATCGCCGCATTCGGGCCGCCGGCTCGACCCACTGGGCTATCTATTCCTTAAACTATTGAGCTGTTTTTATATTACTGATAATTGTCTTTTTGTTCAGAACTTCTCCACATTTCAAAGTGTTTCCCGAGCCAGAACAACCTATCTTTCTTCCTGGCTTGCTCTATAATGATACTACAATTCAAATACAACTCAACTACGACAACCCACACATTGCGCATTGTTTAGAGCGGTCATGAAATGTTGAAGCGCTCAAATTCGAAACTGTTTCAACCTGTCACCTGTCAGAATCGAGACGAGGCAGTGCATTGAATCGCGTAAATGGACCGCAAACCAGTAGTGATTCATTCAGGCAATGAAGCAGTTGCTGCTTCGGACGTCACATGTCACGTGATTTGAAGCAGTTGCTGCTTCTGACGTCATATGTCATGTGATTTGAAGCAAGCTTCGAAGCACTGCTTCTATGAAATAGGAAGTCCAGGGCTGAAGCTCCGTTCGAAGCTTCAGTGTCAAATTGTCATCACTACTTTCAGTTACGATCGTTAACATCAGTGGGCCACAGCAAATGATGGTGAGAAGCTAAACTATCTATTAATGATGTCAATTACAGGGAGTGTGATTGTTGAAATAGGGTGTTACGGTCTTGCTGTTCAAAGAAGAATGACAACACTGTAGATCACCAACACTATGGTTTATTTTT